TATAGGCCATAGGTCGTGGGGCCCTTTAGGCTCCCTTTACTTGATTCATCAAACAGCCAAACAGATCCATCGTGGTAGGGTGGCCATAGGCCCTTTACTTGATTCATCAAACAGCCAAACAGATCTGTCGTGGGGTGGCCATAGGCCCTTTACTTGATTCATCAAACAGCCAAACAGATCTGTCGTGGGGTGGCCATAGGCCCTTTACTTGATTCATCAAACAGCCAAACAGATCTGTTGTGGGGTGGCCATAGGCCCTTTACTTGATTCATCAAACCGCCAAACAGATCTGTCGTGGGTGGCCATAGGCCCTTTACTTGATTCATCAAACCGCCAAACAGATCCTGTCGTGGGGTGGCCATAGGCCCTTTACTTGATTCATCAAACAGCCAAACAGATCTGTCGTGGGGTGGCCATAGGCCCTTTACTTGATTCATCAAACCGCCAAACAGATCATCGTGGGGTGGCCATAGGCCCTTTACTTGATTCATCAAACAGCCAAACAGATCTGTCGTGGGGTGGCCATAGGCCCTTTACTTGATTCATCAAACAGCCAAACAGATGTGTCGTGGGGTGGCTATAGGCCCTTTACTTGATTCATCAAACAGCCAAACAGATCTGTTCCCGGGGTGGCTATAGGCCCTTTACTTGATTCATCAAACCGCCAAACAGATGTGTCGTGGGGTGGCCATAGGCCCTTTACTTGATTCATCAAACAGCCAAACAGATCTGTCGTGGGGTGGCCATAGGCCCTTTACTTGATTCATCAAACCGCCAAACAGATCCATCGTGGGGTGGCCATAGGCCCTTTACTTGATTCATCAAACTGCCAAACAGATCAGTCGTGGGGTGGCCATAGGCCCTTTACTTGATTAATCAAACAGCCAAACAGATCTGTCGTGGGGTGGCCATAGGCCCTTTACTTGATTCATCAAACAGCCAAACAGATCCGTTGTGGGGTGGCCATAGACCCTTTACTTGATTCATCAAACCGCCAAACAGATCTGTCGTGGGGTGGCCATAGGCCCTTTACTTGATTCATCAAACCGCCAAACAGATCCGTCGTGGGGTGGCCATAGGCCCTTTACTTGATTCATCAAACAGCCAAACAGATCTGTCGTGGGGTGGCCATAGGCCCTTTACTTGATTCATCAAACCGCCAAACAGATCTGTCGGGTGTCGTAGGGTGGCCATAGGCCCTTTACTTGATTCATCAAACAGCCAAACAGATCCATCGTGGGGTGGCCATAGGCCCTTTACTTGATTCATCAAACAGCCAAACAGATCCATCGTGGGGTGGCCATAGGCCCTTTACTTGATTCATCAAACAGCCAAACAGATGTGTCGTGGGGTGGCCATAGGCCCTTTACTTGATTCATCAAACCGCCAAACAGATCCGTCGTGGGGTGGCCATAGGCCCTTTACTTGATTCATCAAACCGCCAAACAGATGTGTCGTGGGGTGGCCATAGGCCCTTTACTTGATTCATCAAACCGCCAAACAGATCTGTCGTGGGGTGGCCATAGGCCCTTTACTTGATTCATCAAACAGCCAAACAGATCTGTCGTGGGGTGGCCATAGGCCCTTTACTTGATTCATCAAACAGGCAAACAGATCCATCGTGGGGTGGCCATAGGCCCTTTACTTGATTCATCAAACCGCCAAACAGATCCGTTGTGGGGTGTCCATAGGCCCTTTACTTGATTCATCAAACAGCCAAACAGATCTGTCGTGGGGTGGCCATAGGCCCTTTACTTGATTCATCAAACAGCCAAACAGATCCATCGTGGGCTGGCTATAGGCCCTTTACTTGATTCTTCAAACAGCCAAACAGATCCATCGTGGGGTGGCCATAGGCCCTTTACTTGATTCATCAAACCGCCAAACAGATGTGTCGTGGGGTGGCCATAGGCCCTTTACTTGATTCATTAAACCAACAAACAGATCCATCGTGGGCTGGCTATAGGCCCTTTACTTGATTCTTCAAACAGCCAAACAGATCCATCGTGGGGTGGCCATAGGCCCTTTACTTGATTCATCAAACCGCCAAACAGATCTGTCGTGGGGTGGCCATAGGCCCTTTACTTGATTCATCAAACAGCCAAACAGATCCATCGTGGGCTGGCTATAGGCCCTTTACTTGATTCTTCAAACAGCCAAACAGATCCATCGTGGGGTGGCCATAGGCCCTTTACTTGATTCATCAAACCGCCAAACAGATGTGTCGTGGGGTGGCCATAGGCCCTTTACTTGATTCATCGAACCGCCAAACAGATCCGTCGTGGGGTGGCCATAGGCCCTTTACTTGATTCATCGAACCGCCAAACAGATCCATCGTGGGGTGGCCATAGGCCCTTTACTTGATTCATTAAACCAACAAACAGATCTGTCGTGGGTTGGCCATAGGCCCTTTACTTGATTCATTAAACCAACAAACAGATCCGTCATGGGGTGGCCATAGGCCCTTTACTTGGTCCATCAAACCTTACAGAGAAGGCGGAACTTTAATACCTTAGACTCGGATGTTCGCAGTGCTTTCATCAGAGCTGGTAGGAAATTACATCAGGCTGAAGCAGTACCTCATAAGTGAATCATCCTATAGTACTTGATCCCCAGCATCCCATCACCAAGCTGATCATCAAGGATTATGACACCCATCCACATCTCTTGGAGATAAGAATCTATCAAACAATGTTTTGGATTTTATTAGATTTTGAAGCTATCCTGCATCATCTGAGGCATTGTAAAGAATGTATGGGGTTGTTTGCCAATCCAGATATTCCCCGAATGGCTGATCTTCCTGTTGCCAGGCTCAGTTTGTTCAAACCATCCTACTCTGAGAGGACTGTTTCTGTCCGATGCATGTCAAAATAGGAAGGAGAAGGGAAAAGAGATTTGGTATCATCTTCAAGTGACTAATGACCCATGCAGTACATCTAGATCTTCTAGAAAGTATGGACACTGATGCCTTTTAGCTGGCTTTTATTTCCAGACAAGGCCAACCATATGAAATTCTGTCAAACTGTGGCACTAACATCAAGGGAGAGGATGGTGAACTAAGTGAATCCTTTCAAACCACGCACCCAGTCCAAGCCAACCGGCCACATACCCAGAAATCCAGTTAAAACACAACCCTCCTCATGCAAATTACTTTGGAGGATCCTTGGATCAAGAAAGAAAATCTGTCACATATGGTGTTAGAATAGCTTCAGGAAATCAGCCTGTTTCAGTGGTTCCAAACTGTCTCGACTGAGGTAGAAGCCAAATTGAACTCTAATCCACGCAGCTAGGTGTCAAGTGATGTTGTCGACATTGATCCTGTGACCCCCAAATATACTTCTGATCAGATGATTCATTGGTGATGGTCGGATCCCTTATTGCCATGAACTCATCTGTTGTGCTTTGTTTGATGTGTGTTCTACAGGTGTTATTAGAACATTCTACCATGACATTTAAGTATGTTCGTTTTTGATTGGCTGTTACTATTAGAAGTGAAAATTTTTCAATAACCACTTCTGAGAGCTGGTTCACTGAGCGTAGTGTCAAAACACTACGCAAGGGTAATGAGTGCATAATGCGTTTGGTTTTAAATGAAACATTTAGCAGTGTTCAACAAACTATAATCACTTCCAAAATGTAAACACAATAGGATTATCTCCTAAGCATGTTTTCACTTTCATTTTTGTCAAATTTGTATCTAATATAAATATGGGGGTGGCTGTGCATAGGCTAAAGAAACTCCATTTTCTTTTATCTTCCAGGGCCCCGTTTCGCAAAGCTGTCGTAAGCCTTAGATCTCGTAACTTTTCTCGTAGCATTTGTACTCCCTATGTTACAGTATAACAGGTACGAATGCTATAAGAAAAGTTACGAGATCTTATGCTTATGACAGCTTTGTGAAACGCGGCCCTGACCAGTTTTATTCTGTAAAATTCCCATTGTTTTCGTTGTTGTTTTTAATTTGAACATTCAGTGTGTATAGAAGAGTAACGGCCATTGTTATCTTGCCAGCGTAAAAAAGCATTTAGTGGGCACTTTTCCAACAAATGTATTTAAATCAATTCATTTAAATCAGAACATGTACTCCAATTACACACTGCCTGGTGTGAATTTTGAGTCATTCAGAAGTAAGCCACATAAATGATGTACTATATTCTTTATTTGTTCACCGGGGGTGGTGGGGTATCCTAGTGGTTAAAGCGTTGGCTCGTCACGCCGAAGACCCGGGTTCGATTCCCCACATGGGCACAATGTGTTAAGCCCATTTCTGGTGTCCCCCGCTGTGATATTGCTGGAATATTGCTAAAAGCGGCGTAAAACTAAACTCAGTCAGTCAGTCAGTCATTTGTTCACCTAGTCTGATATCATTTGTAGTTTCTCTTTCTGATTCCTAGCACAGAAAAACATCCCTGTATTATTGTTTTTTGGGGTTAATATCCGCACATAGAATTAACATTGAAGATTTATTATCAAGAAACAGTAATCATCTAATTTATCTGAAGATTTTACACTCAATGGCTGGGTAATGGTAATCAAACAGTCGCTCTTGCTATCAGCCACCTGATGGGCATCTAAAGACCACATACATGGAATATTGCTGAAACAACTGTCATTCAATAACTTGCGTATCTGAACCTTGTGATGATTTCAGAGAAATAGACATCTATGACAGAATAATACGAAGTCTTGTCCAAAAGAATATTCAATCCTGGGATATGATGAATATATATAATAATTCACATGGTAATGCAGATTACATATTCTAAGCATGCAAATTAGATAACGAATCGTCATGCATAATCATAAACAAATGGCACCGCCAAAGTGAAGTCTACAGCCTACTTTCATAATGGCTAAGTTACAAGGCATCTTGTGAGACTTGGGAGTGATACACGCCAGCGAAGGAAGTGTCAAAACATCGATGTTTTAACTAGTGTTTTAAATACAGAGTGCTTACAATAAAAACATTGTACATTCAGGAGGTGTAAGGTTCAACATACCAATTGTATTTCCTTGTTGTAGTGATTGGCGGAGAGCCTCCGTGTTTACCGTTCCCAACCCGGATGTTGGTTCACTGCTAATAATAGTGAACCACGAGCTCTAGGTCACGGCGTGGTACAACAGTATCGCTGTGTGAAGCCTATATAATCAATGACTAGTTTTCTCACACTGCAACGTTCAAGTTTGTGCTGGCATCCACTCACCCTAATCTGTAAGATGTTGGCAACCTAATGAATTTCACGTCGGGCTTTACATACGAGCGTTGTTAATTGACTAATCAATTATAATTTCAAACCAAGTGCTATCTCATAAACGACCGAAAATAGATGCTACACAGATTCATTTCAAGGAACGGTACGTTATAGGCCACTTCAGTGCGCTTTAGCACACAAGTCGTTATGGTCATGAATGGGTATATTTAAAGACTGAGAAAAAAGACAAAAGGGATTCTACATATCGTTGACGTTATGAACTGTAAATATACTTTAAAGACATTGATAGTTACATTAATTAATTGTTAATTACATTAAAAATTACATTGACAATGAAATTTGTCTTGATTTTTAGTGAGTTGGTGAGTTAAGATATTTTACATCGCAATTCACTCACCAGCAAATCAAATACTGAGACATATTTCATTGTCAATGTAATTAATGTAATTAACAATCAAATAATGTCACTGTCAATGTATTTTTGATTTGCATGGTATTTTCAGTTATTGCTTTAGTTAAGACACGGTAAATGGATTAAGCTAACCATATTCAAGGTAGTATATATACTGAACCGCAAAAGAAACTCAAGTTGATGTAAAAATGTCAATATTTCTGAATCTATGGAACAAACAATCTTAACACTACGAAAAAAACCCAGACAAGTGATTGTTGAAGAAATGAGTCATGGTCTCTGGTGAAAACAACACTCAAGTTTACAGTAAAAGCATATGTTATCACTCCACCCTCACACACCAAAAATGTCACGAAACAGTGTGTCAATCAGTAGCGCGTGTGACCACCATTGGCTGCAATGCAGGCAGCACAACGACGTCTCATCGAGTCAACAAGTGTCTGAAAGAAGGCTTGGGGAATTTGATTCCATTCCCTGACCAATCTGGCTTCCAAATCTCTATTGTTTTGAGGTTGAGCAGCTGTCTGTATCCGTCTACCAATTTCATCCAACACATGCTCGATTGGTGCCATATCCGGGGACAGAGAGAGCCAGGGCAGTACAGCAATGTTGTTCCCTCTAAGGAAGTCCACAGAGACCCGTGCAGTGTGAGGACGAACATTGTCCTGCTGGAACGTCTGGAGCTGAGGTTGGGCCTTGAATAGCGGTACAACGTGGTGTTGAAGGACTTGGTCTCTGTAGACTACAGCAGTCACACGTTGACGAAACACGTGTAAACGTGTTCTGTGGTGGTAGCTGAAGCCACCCCATACCATGAGACTCCCACCTCCCCAGCGGTCAGCTTCCACAACACAACAGTTGGCGTAACGTTCATTACGTCGTCTCCATACACGTAATCGGCCATCGGCGTGGGACAAGTTGAATCTGGACTCATCAGAAAACAACACTTGTTGCCATTGTTGACGTCGCCAACGCTAGTGTTGTCGCGCCCACTTAAACGATTTTGGCAGTGACGTTGCGTCAGAATCGGTCCGACGTAAGGACGCGACATCTGATCCCTGCTGCCCTCAGACGACGACGAACAGTGTCTGCAGAGATGTGACGTTGTGGCCCTTGAATGGTTGCAGCCGTCTGTGTTGCTCGTTGCTGTCGGTTACGCAGATGAGTAACCCGGATGTGACGATCTTGCGCTGGCGTTGTTATCCTGGGACGTCCTGAACGTGGTCGGTCTCGAACATTACCGGTTTGACGATACCTTGTGGATAGTCTTGTGATTGTTGTCACGTGACATCTGAAGTGCCTGGCCACTGCAGTTGGTGTGGATCCGGTCTGCAACATTCCAACGGCGATTCCTCGTTGCTGTTCAGTTAGACGTGGCATGTTTTCTCCGCGTTGTCACAGTCAATTTTGTGTTCTGTGGTGTTTTTTGAATGACCTGCCTTATAAAGCTTCAAATTGGAGTGAAATGCACGCATTTTTGTGTGAAACACAAAAACTTCATGCAAAAAACACGAAAAACATGAAAATGATTGCGTTTGGGCGATATGGTCAAGAATAAGCGGCAACAACGGCAAAACCATCTTCGAATGCTTGGTTCTATAATGGTATACTTTGTTGTCCTAAAAGGAATGCATTTGGAACGTATGTTTTGAAAATAGTTACTTGCGTTTCTTTTGCAGTTCAGTATACATGTAACTGAAAAGGGAAATTTATGTAGTCATAAAAGAGACACAATGAAGTATTTACATTTTGTAAATACAACCCCAGTATTATAATACAGACAACTTTGCGTCATGTCACTTGGGGTAAAAGGACCGGCTTTGTGATCTGGGTGTACGATAACCTTTGTCTGGGAAGAATTACGTCAGGTTGGAAATAACATATGTCAACAAGAAGGTCATGGATGTTTTTTTCCATAATTAGAATGTTGCCCTTAATATTAAAGAAAAACAAAACCAAAAAACACAACGTTATATTGATGGTGTTATGTAATGTCATGGCCGGATCCAGGAATTTTGAAAGGGGTGGGTGGGTGTCAGGGGGTTCAACCCCCATTGTCTCCGCCAACAGTGGCCGGAAGTGCCACAACTCGCCGTGCAGAGTTACATCCCTTGCCTACCAGGAAGTGCCAGTTCGAATCCCATCTTGCCAGAGTGAGATCAATGTTGTGTAAGCACGGTGTCTATACATATTGCAGATATAGATACGATACGGCTTGAATACTGCCGATGTGACTCACAGTAACTATGCACATATCTCGGAGTTTCATCAAACGATACACGTACACCATTTGGCTCATTTATTTTTTATCATGAGTATATATACTGCGACAGAAAGTAGAGGAACGAAGCAGCTGCGTTTTCAGTGATCTTATTTCATGTCCTTTGTCCTCCGGTGTGCCAGTACCGTCGCTATTGCGTGTGGTTCCTATTGGTGTATGCTTGACATTTTAGGAGAGTGGTGTTATATTTGCGTTAGGGCCCGGCCAGACACCCTCCAGCATATATTCATCGATTCTCGCGTTTTCTCGTGCGTGGGGCTGGTGGCGACATTCAGCTCACTTCGTGAGACGTCCAATTGGCCTCGGGAATCTCCTGGACTCGAGGGAGTCTGATTCTTGACCCAACATTCTATGTAGCACAACCATCTATGTCTCGCATCCAGATAAACAAGGAAATACAGGTTCTGGAACTTATACTTTTACTCACCAAAGTCAGACCCCAGTATTACAAATGTTGTCGTGAGTGACACCTGCGAGTCATTCTCTGTACTTAACGCCCAGTTCATTGTTTTCTAAATCAGAATTGAATTTTTCAATCAATTTAACCTATTTTGAACGTTCCTGAAACCTGGATGGAATACAAATATCCCAACAGGAGAGAACAAGATCGGGAGATCATTTACAGCACACTTAATGTTAATTATACCTGTGAAGATTCGGGTTATATCTTCAGCAACCCATGCTTGTCGTAAGATAACGATTCTCACTGGAGTAATTCACAGCGCTATGGCAGCGTCTCTCAGGTGACGACTTATGAGCACGTGATTTTATTTCGTATCGAGGGTACCCGTGAAGGTCCGGGTTAGAATATAGATCTTCAACAACCCATGCTTGTCGTAAGAGGCGACTAACGGGATCAGGTGGTCAGGCTCGCTGACTTGGTTGACACATGTCATCCTATCCCAGCTACTTAGATCGATACTCATGCTGAGAGCACTAGATAGTTTGCGCCAGACTCGATTATCTACAGACTGCCGCCACTTAGCTAGAATACTGCTGAGTGCGCCGTTAAAAAACAAACAAAACACCTCTCCATTTGTTAGGGTTAAAACGTATGTTGTTGCCACTAACGAGTATACTGGGTTGCTGAATACTTTACAAGGCAATGCTGTTACACGATAGCAGCCTGTAAACAGTCGAGTTTGGACCAGTCAAACCGGTGATTGATATTATGAACAACAAAGGATATACTGCCGGAGTACGATGACAGGCAGTCGAATGGGTTTGAGAAACAGGTTGCTGGTGATTAAGTCTAACTCGGCCTCCCCATGGATACGGATAAATTTAGATATCTCTCCGCTGATTATGAAGTATTTACATAAGAAACTCTGTATCTTATTGAAGTAGTCTCCCTTGACGTACAGGATGAATATAGAGTATTGTGATTGTTCTTGATATGTAGAAATCGTATCCTGCATTAAAGTAATGTGGTGAGTTATATTAGTCTTTTGGGTAACTGCCTGGATTTCAAATAGTCTGTAATGCACTGATCCGATGAATATGCGTTGGATGTACTGAAGAAAGTGAGAACATGTTCTCATAACAGATGGTGTTACACATCCACGCAAAGACGAAACACCGCACGAGTCAATCTTGATACCCAATAACATGGTGATAAAGTGTCTCTCTAACACACACACGGTAGCCCAGAGGTTGGTGTGTTCGACTGTAGCAGACAGGGCCTTGGTGTGATTCCAAAATTAGGTTCATGCTGTGAACCCATCTTTGACTAAGGCAGCCGTCACTGGAAATATGTAAACCTGTTCAGTGCATTCATTTGGTACGTGATTTACCTAAAAGTGAAAAAAATCGATTCAGACCACGTCTTGCATACATTTCCGATCCATTAAGCCAATTGACACACTTCAGTACCTTGGGAAATTTGGAATGCATTTACCACGGTTTTATTGCATATTACCGGAAGTCAAGCAGAAAGTATTACTCTCCAGAGTACGACTGGTTTGAGTGCTAAATGTATATATTTTAATAATATATCATACAGCAAACGCTATTCACCAAAATGGTGGACGGAAATATTAGTCCCGATTCAGCCTTAACTACAAATATCGAACGTTGTGTACTTCTGACATAAAGATCAAGGTCACGTTTGTTCTGATCTATTGTTAATACTGCCGTGAAGTCGTAAAATTCCCTTGGGCTTGGC